TCAACGGAGTCTGCAGGTCTTGTCCGACTGTATGCAGGAGCACCCAGCTGCGGCTGGGACCATGTGCGTCTGTAAGGGTCAGACAGCTGTGTGGGTGTGAATCCCGGGGTTGGTGTAACCATGTGTAAGCGGCTCTAGACACTGTCTGTGTGTCACTGTGACTGTGTGTGCGTCTCTCTGGGTGCTGGGTGGCGGCGTGGAAGTCTCTGGGTATTCCCACGACAGCGTCTAGGTCCTTGGGTGTTGTCTGGGTGCTGGTGTGACAGTGCAGACCTTGCTCTGGGTGTTGGGTTTGGTGTTTCATCTGATCGCGTGTCGAGGCTGGAGGCTGTCATGACCTGGCATGTCTCCCTGGGGATCCGCAGGGACAGGGCTAGCCTTGCTCCCAGAGACCACAGTGGAACCCCCAAGCCCCGCTCACCTCGGGCAGCAGCTGCAGGGTCGGGCAGCACCACATGGGCATGCAGCTCCTGCAGCTGCTGGTGCAGCAGGTCAAGGCGGCGGGAGGAGCCGCGCAGCACCAGCTCCACCGGGCCGAGGCTGCGGCCCAGGTCCGTGGTGGCCCGCCGAAGGTTCTCAGCACCCTCCTTCAGCTTCAGCTCCTTGCGGATCTCGCGCCGCAGCCGCTCCCGCTCTAGCTCCAGCTGCTGCTGCACCCCAGGAGCCGCCAGGTCAGCACCTGCCAGGCCCAGCTGCTCCAGCAGGGACCAGCTGCGCGGCTCGCTCTGCAGGAGATGGAGCACAGTCAGTGGGGCTGCGAGTCCGGGGCAGGGCATGGACCACCACACTCAGCCAGCTTGGCCTGGCCTCTTCCTGACCTGGGTGCTTCCAAGATATAAACTCTGGCCCCCCAAAACTGAGAGGTGAGACAAGGTCCTGACCGTGCTTCCTGAGTACCCCAAACAGTGAGGTCCCTACTATAGGGCCCTCTTCCTTCCATGTCCCCTCAGCCTAGGGGACCCCATAAATACAGTCTTGTCTCCCTTCATCTATTCCTTATACAGTAGAATTCTGGAGGACAGGCCCCATTATGTCACAAGTGTGCCCCCAAACTAGGAGGTCTCCAACTTCAGGCCCTATTTCCCATTGCCCCCCCAAAAAAGGTCCTGAGGGCAGACCCCCTCCCTTCTGTTGTCCCCCTAAATTAGGCGGTCCCGAGCATAGGCCCCAACTCCCCTCTACTGTCCCTAAAACCAGGTCCCAAGGGCAGGCTCCATTTCCCCTCTGCTGTTCCTCAAACAAAGAAGTATCAGGGTAGGTCTCTGCTGCCCACCCCCCCAAAAAAAACAATAGGCCTGAGATCCAGAAAGCAGGCCCTTTTCCTCTCTGCTATGCCCTCAAACTGGGAGGTGCCAAGGGCATGCTTCTCTTCCTCTGCTATAACCCTAAACTACGTCCTAAGGACAGGCCCCATCTCTCTCCTGCTGTAACCTCAAAGTAGGAGGTCCTGGGACAAGCTCTGTCTCCCCTCCTCTCACTCTCTACAACTAGACCCTAAAAAGCAGAGCCCTGTCTGCTTCCTTCTCTATTTCCCCGACCTGGGAGCGTCAAAAAACCCCACATAATTTCATCTTCAAAACAGAAAACTCCAAACCCATCTCCTCCCCTTGGTCCAAAATCAAGAGAGGGCGGGGCCTCCGGCCTGTGTCACTGGGGTCCTCTTTTCCCCCCAACCCCGACCCCAGCCCCCACCTCCAGCTCCTGGTCCAAAGGGGGATTGGCCTCCGCCATCCTGGGTCCCGGCTGAGGGCCCCGCCCTCTTCCTGAACCTCAGCCCTGCCAGGGCCTCTTGACCGCCACTTCCTCTTTCCTGCTAGCTCCCAGCAGCCCCTGCGTGGGGCCAGCTCTGGGGCTCTGGGGCATCTAGGGGACCTTTTCCCTCAGTGCCCTCTTCAGTGTCTGCTTCTCAGGAGGCAACCAGGGATAGCCCCCGCTCTACGTCCTAGGAGGTTGCTAAGGTGCACACACACCTCGCACGCTTACTGGTGTAGACATGGAGACCAGGCTCCCTTGAGTGTATACAGGCTCCAGGGGCTGACCTACAGGCATGTGCACAAAACACAGGCAGGCAGATGCGTGCACGCCCCTGCGCCCACCCCATGTACGCTGATATGCACATGCCGGCCAATGAGCGCTCCTATGGGCCGGCTCCTTCCTTGCAGACGCAGGCCGTCCCAACTTCCGGCTTCCTCTCAGTCCGGTCACCCACCGCTGTGACCACAGCTGGGGCCCACCCAGGCCAGGGGCACCTCCCTGAGGCCTATATCATGAGGAGACAGTGCTGGAGGGCTGGGGTGAGGGTGCCCACAAACCAGTAGCCCAATAAAGGCCAAGTACGACTATTAATAAGACGACCAATTATTGTGAGCTCCACCTAGGTCACCTAAAGCAGGTCCACAAGGTGGGTGCTGTTATCACCCCATTTTCAAGACAAGGAAACTGAGGCCTGGAGTGGTGACATAACTTGCCCTGAGGCCCCACAGCCAGCAGGAGGAATGGCTGGGATTTAAATGGGGAGTGCCCACAATCTGATCACCAGCTAAGCGTCAGGCCTGGCACTAAGTGAGAATCCCCACTGGGTGAACCCATTTCACAGATGAGAAAAGTCTTTGTTGGCTCCCAGCCAACCTGGAGGGCAGCTGCCCCCAGCAAGGTTTAGCGCAGGTCACCATCCTACCAACCCATCACACGAATCCCAAGCGGCTGCCACAATTCTCCCCCACTTTCCAGGCAAGGAAACAGGCTGAGAGAGGAGACAGCTGCAGTTTGGGGCGCGGGGTGTGGGGGGCAGGTGGAGTGGGAGTGGTGATCACCAAACACACCTCCAGGGGCACCAGGCAACAACCAGAAACATTTTTGGTTGTCTCAGCTGGCGGTGGGGAGGGAGTGCTCCTGGCGTCTGTTGGGTCAAGACCGGAGAGCCTGCTCCACATCCTGTCGTACACAGGACAGCCCCCCACCTCAAAGAATGATTCAGCCCCAAATGTCAATAGTGCTGAGACTGAGAAACCATGCATTAAAGGACAGAGACTCACACCCAGGGCTGCTGACCATGACCACCATAAGGACTGCCTAGCAGCCCTACCTGCAGAACACAGGCCCATCTACACCTCTTCCTTTGGACAATGAACACCCTCGTTGATGAACATGCCGGTTTTTCTGGCGGCAGAACCGTGGCTCAGAGAGACAAAGGCACTGGGTCCAGGACACACAGTGAGAAAGTGACAGAGCTGGAATTTAAACCCATGTTCACCTAATACTACTAGCTGGTGACCAGACCTCACCCACCACCCAGCCCCATTCCATCCCTAGCGGGCAGAGCAGGGGACAGCCAGGATCAAGCCAGCTCAAATAAGGAAAGTCCAGGCAGAGAGGAATAGAAGCTGAGGCCTGAGAATACCCAGAGTGGGGGGGGGAGGGAGAGAAGGGAGTCCCAGCCTCTTGGGTTCTCTTCCCTTGGGTGACTCACTCCTACCCAGAGGGCAGGGGTCACCCAAAGGCCAGCAAGGCAAACACATGATCAGGAGCCTGGCCCAGCCTTGGAGAATCCTTGCTCCCCCACCTCCCACCATGGCACACGGGACCCAGGTCCAGAGGGTCCATCTCGCAGAATCCCCCCCTTCCCAGAGCAGCCAGAGACCTAGACCCTCATGTCCGGAAATTTCAATGCTTTGGGCGTTTCCGGAATCCGGACAGGACATCCGTTTGCCGGACACAGTACAGACAGGCATACGTCGGGACAGACAGAGGTACGCGGTGGCAGGCCCAAGCAGGCACAAGAAAGGGATGACCAGAGGGGGAAAGAGTGGGGAAGAGATGGGAGGGGGGACCACAGCACAGGTCCAGCCTCATTCCAGGAATCACAGCCTCCACCCGGGTCATGTTTCGCACATGCTAAGTGCATGCATGAGCCAGAGGAATACTCTAGAGCCCTCCCAGGGCTGAGGGTAGAGGCAGAAACCCCGGCCCACCCAGCCCCAAGGTCTGACCTTATGTGATCGGCAACACCAGATACGCCCAGCTCCACGGCAAGGCTGACAGGCCATCAGCAGGACTGGGGTGGGGGACAGGGGAGCATGGGGGGAGACACAGAGGGGTTGGGGGCAGGTGCAGAAGGAGACGAAAACCCAGTTACACAGCAACCACAGGACAACAGAGGGATTTTGAGGCACTGAGGGCATCAGTGCCACACAATGTGCCTCAGATTCTGAACCAAAGCTCAGGAGTCACTGAGGCCTTGCTTGTCACAGATGTGGAAGGTGAGTCCAAGGCTGTGATGTTCACAAGGTGGTACCTGGAGAACCTGGCTGGTGGCAAGTGGTGCCAGGCTGTGTGTGTTTATGTGTGTGGGAGGTGTGACCCAGACCTGCCACCCATGCCCAGGTTGGGTTCCAGGTACAAGAGAATCCCCCTCTGGGATAAGGTTCCACCTGGCAGCCCTGAGCGTAGCCATGTGGGTCCCCCATTCCTCAACCTAATGAGGTGACTCTAGCACTTCCTCCAACAGGTGCCAATCTGCGTGGCGTAGGGACCATCATAAAGCTCAGTCTGGAGGCGGGGGTGGGGTTTGGGGGGTGCCAGAGCTTTGTTGTGAGGGGGAGGAGCACGGACTGAGCGGCCTCCTCCCCTCCGGGCCACTGCGCCAGGCACCTGCCCCAGGTGGAGTGGCACCTGCCGGAACTGAACGCGGGGGGCGGGGTGGTGGTGGAGGAGGGAGTGCCGCGTTGAGAGGCGGGTGCGACAGGCACCGGGACGCACAGCCAGTCACAGACACTCGAGTAGCGCTTCCGCCGCTCCCCCTCTAATTCTCGGGGAGGGGCGGAGCGTGGGGGTGCGGCGGGGGCCTTCGGAACCTCCCCGCTCCCCCTCGGTGCGTACCTCCACCTGCCGAAAAGTGGACAGTGCTGGCTCCACGTTGTCGGCCCAGGGAGGGGGCACGGGGCGCTCGGGAGACCCCCACCTTGGCAGCCCGGGCCCCGGGGGCCCCGGCAACGCGCGGGCGGGTGTCCCCTGCGCTGGCCGACCGCCGGACGGCTGCGGACACAGGTGCGCCTACCTGCACGGCGTCGCTGGCCATGTCCTCGCGCCGCCCGCCAGGGGTCCCCGCGCGGAGGGAGGGGCGGCAAGAGGAGTGCGCGTGCGCCCCGCGCGGGGCGGGGAAGGGGCGGGCGCGGCGCAAGCCCCCGCCAGCGCGCGGCCCGCTCCGGCCTGCTCCGCTCGGGCCCCGCCTGGCCAGGCCGCCGCGTCCGCGCGCCGCGCCCTCCGGCCCCAGCGGCCGCCGGGCCCGGTCACGTGACCACCGAGGTCGGCGCCCGGGGAGGGGGCGGGGCCGAGGGGGCGCGGCTCCCGGCGGCCCCCGGGGCTGCGGGGTCTTGCCTGCAGGCTTCTCGCAGCCGGCGGCTGAAATCACCTCGTCTGCTCCCCACGCCCTTGCCTGGTTCTGCATCCTCACTCTGCCCAGGGGTCCCCGATCTGAGCGCGCGGGAACCCGAAGAAAAGACTGAACCACGTTAAAGCGGGGAGTGGCAGAAGCCTTTGGGCCTTCCGGAGCCCCTCTAAAAACAAGAACAATATGTATCTCTCCGCCCCTCCTTTGCAAGCTCGGGTCTTCTGGGAAGGATTCCCCTATTATCTGGGGACACGCTCTGGGCAGATCTGGGTTCAAATTCCAGCATCCCATGCTTGGGGGAGCTCCAAAGTCCTAAGAGCGCCTCATCTGTGAAACGGGTTTTATCCACCCACCCCTCAGTGTTGACAAACTTAAATGAGATCGTGCATGCCAAGTGTTCAAAACACAGTAAGCGCTCAATAAATGTTAGCTGTTATCATTTTTAATGTTATTTGCCGTTGTTAGGAAAATGGCTTGAATCCCGACTCCTTCACTGACTCGCTGTAAGATCCTGTGGCTGCTGAGCCTCAATTTTCTCCGTTGTACAATGCAGACCTAGTCTGCAGAGCTGTTGCATGCAGGTGGAGTTCCATAGATGCAGACTTGTGCCCAAGCGGAAGAGAATGGAGGCCTCTACGGAGCTTCTTCGGGGTCTCTAGAACGTGCAGCTTGGCTCTTGGCCAACCCGCACTCCCTTGGAAACCCGGTGAGTGAGCCAAACCTTGGTCCTTGGTCCCCGGGGCTCGGGGCGGGGAGCGCTCCCTGGCGACTGAGCCTAAACACGGGCGCCCTGCAGGGACGGGCCAAAACATAGAGGGCTGAGGGAACCTTGGTTTCTCCCCCCCCCCACCTTTTTCTTTTAAATTTGGAGAGTTTTAAACAGAGAAAGAAAAAGGAGAAGGAGGAGGAGGAGAATGACACCCATCCAGAATCTGCGCACTTCTCACCCCTTCCATGGACCTCACCTGGTCTGGTCTCATCCCTCACCTGGACCAGCACAGGAGCTTCTTCCCAGGACTCCCAGCTCCGCCCTTTACTTTCTACTTTATTTTCCTCACAACAGCCTAAGGATGTCTGTGAACTCCTGAGTCAGGTCCTGTCCTCTGCCTAGATCCCTCCATGGCTCCCACTTTCTTTAGAGTAAAAGCCAAAGTCCTGCCTGAAGACCACAGGCGCTGCACAATTTACCTCCTTCACCTTGCCATTCCCCTCTTCCCCTTGCTCACTCCATTCAGCTATACCAGCCTCCTGGCTGCCCCTCGATTATTTATCAATTGAATTAAAGCACCCTTTGAGCTATTTCTTTTGCTCCCAATTTACAGATGAGGAAACTGAGGCATACATATCCCCAAGACTTTGACAATTTAGGTCTCCATTTAAGTGTCGCCTTCTCTGAGAGACCATTCTATACCATAATATTTATTTAAAATATGGTCTTGTTTTATTTATTTAAACCGTGACTCCTCTGAAATTCCCCAGCATTTGGCTTATGCTCGCTCAGTTTTTGTGGGATGAGTGAACACACACAGGGGTGAGGTGTCAGGAGAATCCCCAGTTATGGAGCTGGGGTGTTTACAGCCCTTGTCCTGTCTTCTAATTCTTCTGCCCATCTGTTTTACAGGTGGAGAGGATGTGGCAAAGCCAGGCTCCAAGCTGGCCCAGGGATTAGGCCACTGTGTTCAGGGATGGGCTTTCTGCTGCCTGCCAGGTCCCAGGCTCCCTCTTCCCTGGATGGAGCTGGGGAACCCTGCCAAATTCTCGCTCCAACCTTCCAACATTCGTTTATTCAGTGAATATTTATCGATGCCCGCTGGGGACTTTGGTGGCACTGGAAACAGAGTCGTGCTCAGGCTTGAAATAGGGAGACCAAGGACTTTTTGTGCAATCTCAACCGAATGTGATAACTACACTGGCGCCTCCCTGCAGCTGCCTTGGCCCCTCTCCAGGCTGCTCTGGGGCCTCGGAAACCCTGACCTGTTCCTGGTTCTCTAGAGGTCGTAGGAAAAACACCCACCCCTCACCCTGGTCTACAGGGTAGTCTTTTGTTGTTGTTGTTTTTAAGATTTTATTTATTTATTTGAGAGAGAGAGAGCATGAGAGGGGAGAGGTCAGAGGGAGAAGCAGACTCCCCGCCAAGCAGGGAGCCTGATGTGAGACTTGATCCCAGGACTCCAGGATCATGACCTAAGCAGAAGGCAGTTGCTTAACCAACTGAGCCACCCAGGCACCCTGTCTACAGGGTAGTCTTATCAGGCCTGTGCCAACCTGTCCAGCCACATCCCCCTGTACTCCCATTATCCCTATCCAGCAACACTGGTCTTCCTTCTGTTCCTCAAATATTCTCACTTTACTTCCAACCACAGGGCCTTTACACTGGCTGTTTTCTGGTCTGGAATGTCCTTCCATCACATCTCGCAAGACTAGCCTTTTCTGATCATTTAGGTCTCTGTTTAAATGCCACCTCCTCCAAGAGACCTTTCCATACCCTGTCATATTTGTTATAAATATGGCCCTGTTTTCTTTATTTTAACTGTCACTCCTCTCTGAAATTGCTCAACATTTGGCCTATGCTCACTCAGTCTTTGCAGAATGTGTGAGTGGACACGGTGTGAGGTGTCAGAAGAACAGTATCCCAAGACAGCCCATGCCTTAAGGAGGCAACTGCCCCACTGTGGGAGAGGCAGAAGGGCTGGCACTAAGGACAAATTGGGACAAGGGTGGTAAAGATGAATAGGGTGTCTGACTGAAGGAAAAGCAGGGCAGTGTCCTAGAAGAAGGTGAGGGAGAGCCTGAGATGTCCTGATTCTTCCCCTCATCTCCATTCCGTGCCCCTCATCCATACCACTCTGGTCGGATGGTCACCGCCCCTCAAAAACACTTATTCCTATTATTCCTCATCCCTTATTCCAGGGCCTTTGTACTTGCTGTTCCCCTCTGCCTGCCGTGTTTTCCTTCTCCTCTTGGCATCCTTTCTTCTTCATTTCATTTCCATCTTGGCTCAAATGCCTCCTTAGAGAAGTACTCCCTGACTGCATCTCCACCTAAAACAGGCCTCACCCCATCTCTACTAAACTCTACCCCTCACATCACTCCATTTTTTTCTTCCTTGCAAATTTTAATAGATTTTACTCTATTTTCTTACTTGTCTGTCTCAATCAGGATGTCAGCTCTCCAAGAACAGGGATCATTGTCTGTCTTGTTCACTGCTGAGTCCCCAGCTTCTAGAACAGTGTCTAGCAACGGAAAGTGCTGGAATAAATAGCTATGGGATGTACAGGTGGTTGAACAAGCAGAGCATCATGGGGTATGGCTGGAGGGTTTAGTGCTGATGAACCTGGAGCAGGAACAGTCTCCAGATACCACAGATGATGGGGATGGAGGGCCTCCAGCACCTCCCTGAAGTTCGAACTTGACCCTGAGGATCGTGGTGCTGCTGACGGATTCTTAGCAGAGGAGGAACTGAATGAGGATTCTTTCTCGAAAGGCTCTTTGCAAACCAAGTCTCCCACCAGCCAACTGGGGGTCAGAAAAAGAGACGGGAGTAGATTCATCTGATACCAGAAAGGCTAAATGTATCAACAAAGCTAAACTCAAAAACTTTGGGTTGGGGGGGGACAAAAAATAATAAGTAGAAAAAAATGATACAGGGGCTCCTGGGTGGCTCAGTGGGTTAAAGCCTCTTCCTTTGGCTCAGGTCATGATCCCAGCGTCCTGGGATCATGCCCGGGATCCTGCTGCATTGTGCCCCAAATCCAGCTCTCTGCTCAGCGGGGAGCCTGCTTCCCTTCCTCTCTCTGCCTGCCTCTCTGCCGACTTGTGATCTTTGTCTGTCAAATAAATAAATAAAATCTTTTTAAAAAGAAAGAAAGAAATGATACAGTTTGATACTGCTTATAGCAATTACTGAAAAACAGAAAGTGAAACTATGTATCAAGTTTATTTAAAAAGGGGGGGGCAGGGAGAAACATGTTCTGGTGTGCCTGGCACCCACGATGAGGTGAGTGAGGTCATCTCCGTTCAAATCCTGGCCCCACTACACACACTAACAGTATGATTCTGCGATTCTGGGCAAGTTACTTCTCTGCTCTGTGCTTCAGTTTCTTCATCTGTGAGACGGGCTGATAGAGGGGCACCTGCCCTCATAGGGCTGCTGGGAAGCTTAAATGAATTAATTCTTGTAAAGCACAGAACGAGGGGTCAGTTCAGTGTCATCCTTTTTTTTTTTTTTTTTTCCAGTGTCATTCTTTTTATTTAGATGGTTGTTTCTGCAGTGGGGCAGTCAAGGGGAAGTGGGAAAGTGAACATAGGTGACTTCCATTTTAACTATAAGGTGTGTCTTTTAATTTTAATTTTTGATTGTTAATTATTTTGATTGAGGCACAACTTACATCTGGTGAAGTGCACAGATCCTTTGGTGTGAAGCTCTGCGATTTTTTTAAAAAAAGATTTTATTTATTTATTTAAGAAAGACAGAAAGAGAGAGAGAGAGCAGGGGGAGGAGTAGAGGGAGAGGGCAAGTGGACTTTGCACTAAGCGACCCAGGGTTCCATCCCACCACCCTTAGATCATGACCTGAGCTGCAATCAGTAGTCAGAAGCTTAACCAACTGAGCCACCCAGGTCCCCCACTCTGTGAATTTTTATATATGTATGCATATACATATATGTGGCCTGTGGCCACCATCTAGTCTTCTCCCCTGTTGCATGCATTTGACTTGTGTTCTTTGCCAGGCAACCTTAGGGAAATTCTATCATCATAGATTAATTTTGCCTGTACTTGAACTTCGTACCACATGGGATTGTTTTGTGATTTTTTTTTTAAGATTTTTTTTATTTATTTGACAGATCACAAGTAGGCAGAGAGGCAGGCAGAGAGAGACAGGAGGAGGAGGCAGGCTCCCTGCTGAGCAGAGAGCCCGATGGCGGGACTCGATCCCAGGACCCTGAGATCATGACCTGAGCTGAAGGCAGAGGCTTTAACCACTGAGCCACCCAGGCGCCCCTGTTTTGTGTTTTTTTTTTTAAATATTTGTGTTTTTTTATGCCTGGATTCTTTCACTCAACATGTTTTGTTTTTTCTATTGAAATGAAATTCGTGTACCATAAAATTTACCTTTCTTAAGTATACAATCTGACTGATTTTTCAATATATTCACAAAAACATGATTTTTATTAATTTTATTAATTTTATTTATTTATTTTTCGTAATCTTTACACCCAATTTGGAGCTCGAACTCATGACCCCGATCAAAAGTCATGCTTTTCAGACTGAGCCAGCCAGGCACCCCAAGAACATGATGTGTTTTTGAGATTCATCCATAATATTGTATATATCAATAATTTATTCCTTTTTATTTTTACTGGTATGCCAGGATATGGATGGACCACAGTTTCTTCTTTTATTAATAGTTAATTATGTATGTATGTATATATGAGTGTGTGTATGTATTTAATTGAATATAGTTGGCATAAATATTATATTGTATGTAATATTAATTTCAGATGTACAATATAGTGGCTTGACAATTATATACATTATGAAATGCTCCCCACTGATGAATAGTTACCATCGTTACCATACAAATTATTGTCTATATTCCCTATGCTGTACTTTTCGTCCTGTGACTTATTTATTTTAAAACTGGAAGTTTGTGTTTCTTGATCTCCTCACTTATTTCGCCCATCCCTCCAGCCCCTGCCCCTCTGGCAATCACCAGGTTGTTCTCTGTATTACTGTGTCTGTTTCTGATTTTGTTTGATTGACTCTTTTTTTAGATTCCACCTATAAGTGAAATCATATGGTATTTGTCTTTGTCTGACTTATTTCATTTAGAATAATACCCTCTAGGACCATCCATGTTGTTCCAAATGTCATTTTTTTTTTCTTAATAGATGAGTAATATGCCATTGTCAAGGGAATGGATAGGGGCACCTGGGTGGCTCAGTCGGTTAAGCATCTGCCTTCAGCTCAAGTCATGATCCAAAGGTCCTGGGATGGAGCTCCACATGGGGCTTCCTGCTCAATGGGGAGTCTGCTTCTTCCTCTTCCTCGGCCCCTCCCCCCAGCAGGGATGCTTAACCGACTGAGCCACCCAGGTGCCCCTATCCATTCCCTTGACGATGAACATTTGGGTTATTTCCAGTTTGGAGTCACTGGGTCAGACCACAGTTTCTTTATCCATTCACTATTGTTTTGGGTTTTTAAAAAGATTTTATTTATTTATTTAAAAGAGAGACAGAGAGCGTGAGGGATGGACATGTGGGTTATTTCCAGTTTGGGGTTATTATGGAAAGAACTTTCCTTGTTCGTATCTTTTTGGGGACAGTAAGTGTTTCATTAACTGTTAGATCTGTACCTAGGAGGATTGCTTAGTCATGACGTCATCATATTTAACCCATCTCATCTGGAGTGATTTTGCCCCTCCACCTGGTGAACATTAGCAATATCTGGAGACATTTTTAGTTGTCACTACTACTGGCATCTACTGGCTGGAGACCAGGGATGATGTTCCACGTCCTACAATGCACAGGATGGTCCCACTGGGAAGAATGTTCCAGGCCAAGTGCCAGTAGTGCCAAGATTGAGAAGCCCTGGTTATGACAAACTGCCAAATCATTTTCCAAAGTATTTTTCCCATTGCACATGCCTGCTAGCAAGTGGATGAGAATTCTTGGTCATGCCAGAGCTTCTTTAGCCCTTGGTTGTGTCTGTTTTTTTTTTTTTCTTTTTAGCCATTTGAGTGCTTTTTCTTTTCTTTCTTTCTTTTGAGTGGGTGTGCTTTAAAATAGTTTATATCTTAAAACAATTCTGAAGTGAATCAAGCCAATATGACAAAGGTTAACATTTGTTTATCTTGAATGGTAGATGTACTTGAGGAGGATTTGATCTTCTCTGGCCTTAAAATTGGTGTTTTGTTTCTGAATAGTAGAAGCTCCCCCTGGCTGCATGGGGGGAGGTGTGCTGGGGTATTTTCCTGTTTCCCCAGAATTTTGTTAACCTTAAAAATAAAACCAGCAGGGGCGCCTGGGTGGCTCAGTCATTAAGCATCTGCCTTTGGCTCAGGTCATGATCCCAGGGTCCTGGTATCCAGCCCTGCATCGGGCTTCCTGCTCAGCAGGAAGCCTGCTTCTGCCTCTCTCACTCCCCCAGCTTGTATTCTCTCTCTCGAGGTCTCTCTCTCTCTCTCTCTCTTTTCTGTCAAATAAATAACTAAAATCTTAAAAAATAAATAAGTAGAACCATCAGTTATTTTAGCAGCAAAATCAGTTTATTTGGCAATAGCAGAGAATTGTAATTTGCAACAAGCAAGCTATGGCAAACCCATAGGCAAGTCCAGAGAACAAGGTGGAAGAATGCACTTTCCTAGTGGAAAGAGAGAGTTGGGAGGAGCTATTATAGACAAAATTCCATTGGAATAAATTGGGAGTTCAAAGTGTAGAGGGTTTTTTTGTTTCTTTGTTTGTTTTACAGGAGAGGGGCAGAGGCGGGGAGAGAATCTTAAGCAGGCTTCAAGCCCAGTGCAGAGCCTGAGACCCTCAGATAATGTCCTGGGCCAAAAATCAAGAGTTGGAGGATTAACCAACTGAACAACGCAGGCACCTCTTTCTTTTCTTTACCTTCCCCCCCCCCTTCCTTCCTTCCTTCCTTTCCTTCTTCCTTTCTTTCTCTCTTCCTCTCTTTCTCTCTTCCTCTCTTCCTTCTTTCCTTTCCTCCCTCCCTCCCTTTCTTTCTCTTTTTCTCCCTTCCTTTCTCTCTCCTTCCTTCCTCTCTCTCTCTCCCTTCCTTCCTTCCTTCTTCCCTCCCTCCCTCTTTCTCTCTTTCCCTCCCTCCCTCTCTCTCTCCCACCCTCCCTCTCTCTCTCCCTTCCTTCCTTCCTTCCTTCCTTCCTTCCTTCCTTCCTTCCTTCCTTCCTTCCT